ACAAATAATCCAAAAATTTATATGGAACCACAGAGGACTCTGAATAGCTACAGCAATCTTGAGAAAGAATAACAAAGTTGTAAGTATCATGCTACCAGATATCAAACTAAACTACAAGGTTATAGTAATCAAAACAGCATGGTACTGGTATAAAACCAGATACATAGATTAATGGAACAGAATAGAGAGCCCAGAAATAGACTCACATCTATATGGTCAATTAAAATATGACAAAGGAGGCAAGACTATGCAGTGGGATAAAGGCAATCTATTCAATAAATGGTGTTGGGAAAATTGGACAGATACATTCAAAACAATATTAACTGAACCACGTTTTTACTACATATACAAGACTAAACTAAAAATGGATTAAATACTCAAAATCATAAAAACCCTAGAAGAAAACATAGGCAGTAAAAATATTCTCTTAGTAATACTTTTTCTGATCTATCTCCTCGGGCAAGGGAAACAAAAGAAAAAACAAACAAATGGGACTAGATAAAACTAAAAAGTTTGTGCACAGCAAAGGAAATCATCAACAACATGAAAGGCAACCTACTGACTGGGAGAAGATATTTGCCAATGATACATTCAATAACAGGTTAATATTAAAATTTTTTTAAAGAACTCAGACAACTTAACACAAAGAAAGATGGATGGAAGGAAGGAAGGAAAGAAGGAAGAAGGAAGGAAGCAAGCAAACAATCTAATTAAAAAATGGGCAGAGGACCTGAATAGATACTTCTCCAAAGAGGACATACAGATGGCCAATAGACATATGAAAAGATGCTCAATGTCACTAATCATCAGAGAAATGCAAATTAAAATCACAATGAAATATCACTTCACACCTACTAGAATGATTATCATCAATAAGTGTTGGCAAGAATGTGGAGAAAAGGGATCCCGCTGAAGAAATTCAAAACACTAATTCAAAACACTAATTCAAAAGACTTTATGCACCCCTCCCTATGTTCATTGCAGCATTATTTACAATATCCAATATCCAATTTACAATATCCAAGATATAGAAGCAACCCAAGTGCCCATCAGTAGACAAGTTGACAAAGAAGGTGTAGTGCATATGCACAAGAGAATATTACCCAGCCATAAAAAGAATGAAATCTTACCATTTGCGACAACATGGATGGACATACCAGTAGAGGGTATTATGCTGAGTAAAATAAATCAGAGAAAAACAAATACCATATGATTTCAGTTATATGCGGAATGTAAAGAAAAAATATATGAACATACGAAACAGACTCAGATACAGAGAACAGACTGATGGTTGGCAGAGGGGAGGGAGGTTGGGGAACTGGATGAAAAAGATGAAGGGATTAAGAAGTACAAATGGGCAGTTACAGAGCAGTCACATAGATGTAAAGTACAGCATAAGGAATATGTAATAACTAGCATGGTGTCAGGTGGATACTAGAATTATCGGGAGATAATTTCATAAATTATATAGCTGTCTAACCACCACATTATATACCTGAAACGAACATAAAATAATACTGAATGTCAACTGTCACTGAAAAAAAGTTAGGAACTACTCCCAAGGCCTTTGTTGCTAAAAGTTCAGCAACCTTTTCCTTGGTCCCAGACTAGAAGGATGTGGAGTGAACTGGTTCAGTCCTAACTATTTCAACTATCAGGATAGAGACAAAGATGACCACCCACATCTTGAAAGAATTTTTATAAAATGCTTCTAACTTTTTCATTTCCAGGATGAAATTCAGGTCCTGGGTCTTGCACAAAAGAGTCCATCCCATTCTCCGCTTTCGCAACACCTTGTCCTCTGTGTGACCTGCTGTGCGGCTCAAGCAGTGAGCAATGTCGATGGAGTGCAAAAATAAACATCTCTAAGGGCCTGTGGAATTTGACGGCCTGTGCATGTGGGGCAGACAGTGGGCTGTGTGCCAGGCCCTGCAGGTGAGCCCTCCAGCAGTCCACACTTGTTTTTAGCCACTTTGCAAACAGTGAGGGCCAACCTGGCAGTGAAGCTCTGTTCCCAGGTTTGGCCTGGTCTGGGTCAGGGCCTGGCCAGGTCTCGGTGTACTCGGTGAGACTCCTTAGGGCGCTGTTACTCAGATGCTGGGAAGGCTGGCTAACCTGGTTTGACAGTGAATAAAAGGAACAAAGAAATGCTGGGCAATTTCTCCCCTGCATTCCTCCTCAAGCTCCTTATACCTCTTCCCTGTGTGATTTGGGAAATGGTCCGGCACTCGAGAATTGGAGGTTTCATTCACTAAAAATTGATTGGGTGCCTGTTCTCTTTCGTGCCCTGTCCCAGGCACTGGAGACAGAGTGGCAATTAGGAGCATCACCACCCGCCCCTAGGGGGCTCCCACTCTTCTGCCTCCTCTCTCTCTCAGACTCCATTCTCCACAACACTCCGTGATGTGCGGGCTAACTGGAACCACTGGACAGACATATTTGACTTGTTACATCCTCCCATCTCAACAACGTGGCGGATTACACAGTGAGGAAAACATTGTGGTGTAGACGGGCGGCACTGCTCTTCAAGAAAGGCTCTCTATTGACTAACCAAAAGACTGTGAAATGCATCTGAGGCCCCAAGTGTCTCCTCTGCAGCCCAGAAACCTCGAATACAACATAGTTGGACCTAATAGCTCCATATGCTATAAAAATGCAAAATGAGAGTTGTGCAAAGCCACTGAGTTAGACACAAACATTTATCACCACACATTTTTTGAGCACCAGCTTCAGAGCGGACATTGTGCGGGGCACTGACTACATCCCATTTTTTTTTTCAAAGTGGGCTTCAGCTCAGGTCTACCACTTTTTTTACATGTACTTCCAACTAAGAGAGAAAAGAACTCTGTTACTGCCAAGAACGGTAGCAGGTGGCAAGCTCCTGGCTATGAATTGTACTGTCAACAAACGACTGGACTCAGAAGTACGCATTTTTCTGACGTTGCCTAGAGTCAGTGGCTCTGTGGATGAGGAGCCTGCACGGTGGGAAAGAATCTTGCTTTCTACTTCCTCTGCCTCTTCTGTGAATCATGACTGGTACCTTTTCTCTCTCTCTGTAGACCAAATACCTTATAAATCACTCTGCCATTTATTCTCAGTCTTATGTAAAGTATTCGTGTCCCCAAAGTCTCATACACAATGTAGAAACTTTGGCAGCCTCGTTAGCAAAGGTCAATGCTTCATTTCAGTTTAGTGCCCAAAGGTCCCTGACAGACATCCAAAAATTTGTTTGAAGTCAGTAATTATTTACTCCTCCGTTACCAGGATCTGTTAGAGGACTAAGCAGAAAGAAACAATGTTTTTAAAAAAGTGAAGCACTCATCTCCCTTTATTTAAGAATTATATATATATACCAGAATGAGATGCAGAATTCAATTATATTTTAGTGGCTGGTTGTCAAAATCCAATAAACTTGAGGCTGATTAGTAAAATGAAGAATTGCATGACAGTAAGATGCTTGTTTTGCTTAGTGTTAGGTATCCTATCAACTCAATAAAAGGCTTTTCCATATCTGTGTACCTTCAGGTGGGTTAATTATTCACAGGAACGCTCAGGCTGTAATTCTAGGGGCACTGCAGGCTGCTGTCCGGCCCCTGCATGTCTTCTGACATAAATCTGCTAAAGGACCTGTCTTGAAAGAAACTCAGAGGAGGTGGTGTATGAAAAGTTACACCCCTGTGCTAACCTTGCGGGCTCCCCCATCACAGGAATAGGTGCTTGAGCGCTGGCATTGCTTGGGTGGCTTGTTGATGTGCCCAATAACAGTTTTGAAACCTGGAGGGCAGATGGGCCAGTGCCCTGTCCAAGGTCAGCCAGAGCTGTTGTCTCCATTCGGATTCAGATGCAGCGATGGCAGGCGGGTCCCTTCACTTCTCTGAGTTTCAGCTTCATCATCGTGAAAGGGGGTTCGCAGTGCCCATCTCTGTGGCTGGTGAGGCTCCAGGGCAGCTATTCATGAGGAAGTATGAATAACACTATTGCATACAGTTGCTTTCAGAAGAGTCGTCTCCCCACCCTGGAATCCTGGGAGGACGTTCCTTGTTCTGTGGTATTACCCAGGTTGACTCTAACTTACAACAGACTTTTGTTCCTTATGCTGTTACCACAGCCACGCTTGGGAGTGTTTTCCATCTTTCATTTGGACTTACTCCATTGCATTTTTTTTTTTTGAGAAATCCTCACAAATTGGTTCTTAACTTATAAAATCTGGGAATGCCCAAGAGAGGCTGCTCAACTAAAACAAATGAAAATGGAATCAGGGAACAGCCGAGGCAAAGTAAAAATTAATGATGCTTAATATTTTTGTAAAGAAACAGAACATTTTGTTTTGCCGGGGGTTTTTACCCACAGTGCGCCCTCTACGGAATAATTACCTACCTTTCATTGTGCAGTCTTAATAAATGATGTGGTCATTTTTAGCCCTTGAGAAAGTATACAAAGAAGAAATGTGTGTTTAGATTTACACTGCAGGAGTAGAACTGAAATATCTGTTTAAGAAAGTTATGTGTAAAATGGGATTGAATACTATTTTGAAAGTGAATCATAATTATGCCAGCCTAGTTATATTTCTTTTTGCATATTCAGCCTATTCTTTGTGACAGTTACAAGTATACAACTTTTACGTGGTTTTGCATAGCTTCTTTTACAAGATACACACAACGTTAGAGACTTCTTGCTCTACCATTGCATCATAAATATTTTACCATATTATAATATTATCTTCTTGTGTATAATTTTAAACAATTGTATACTATTCCATTTGTTTAATGTGCCATAACTCTTTAAACACTTGCCAATTGTTTAGCACTTAGGTTGTTTCTATTTTATATATTATTCATAATACAACTTTTTTTTTTTGGTCTGGTCTATAGCATTGAGCTTCTCTTAAATTGTTTCCTTAGGATAACTTCTTAGAAATGAGATCATTGTTCTAAGACTATGAATAACTTTCTACTGCTATTTCATCACACTGTTCAAAGGGCTGCTGCACAGTGCTGCCTGTTTCAGCAGTCTTTAATAGCACTGGGAGCACTAAACCAGGCTGGTCTCATACTGGACATTTATGGGTAGGTAGATTTAGAGTTTTAAGTTGGAAAATAGTTTATTTATTTATTTATTTATTTTTATTTATTTATTTTTTAGGCATAGAGCATTTATTAATTTTACCATTAATTTTGAGGTTAGGTGCAAGTTTTTAATAAATGTTCTTTATCAGGTTGAGGAATTTCCCCTCTACTTCTTAGTTTTCTGAAATGCTCACTGTAAATGAGTGTTAATTTTGTGAAATGTCTTTTTTTTTTTTTTTTTCCTATTA